AAAGAATAGTAGCTATAACACGTAGCGTTTATTATATTTGAGGAACTTCATATGTCATTTATATATAAATCATAGTGACTGAATAGCTTGTATTTTTAGTACTATTTTCTCAGGCTAGAAAAATGAAATCTAGTAATGTTAAAGAACTTACAAAGGCCAAAAAGGTAAAAAGTGGTTAAGCTGATATTAAATACTGGCACCTAATGTTGGGATCATGTAGTTATTTTACTCTGACACCATCTGGACTACAGAGCTAAGCATTTCTATTTGCCCATGCAAAAGATTGGCATGCATTTGACAGCTCCTGTTATAGGAATTTATGTAATATATGTAAAAATTATTTTCAACAAATAGTAAGTTACTGCTTTCCATAGTTCTAATATCATGGCTAGGATAACACCATGAATAATTTATAAAGTGCATTATTGAGTAAACCTTACTTATGACATGGCTTAAAATGTATTTCGATCTTCATTGTGAAAATCATGTGTACATGTTGCGTTATTTTTATAAGGAAAAATTATTCAGGCAATATAAGCTGTCTTGAATAATGTTTTAGTCCGAGCTCTAAGGGACTCTTCCCACAGATCTTCAGATAAGAAATATTTTTAAAATAAAACTCACCAAGAAACTACGAATCATCCGTAAACTTTACTGCTGTGCAAGGACATGGGCCACTGAAAAATATGGAACTGGTGAAGCTTTGTCCTTTTCAGATAAGAAAATTGTTATACCATTAGATCCATGTTTTATAAACCCAAAGATTGGTAAGAAACAGTCTTCCTGTCCTTGGAACTCTGACATGGTTGAATAATTCACCTGACCAGTTCATTGTCTGCTTAGGGCTCTAGCAAAGAAAAAAAAATTACTTAAACAAACAATATTTAGAAAGCTCATCAAACTAGTCAACAGGTGAAATAGCAGAACTCTGCTAGCTTTCTATGTAGTCATTTGTTAATTAACTTGTTGGAATTTGGAATTTTCATGGGTCAGGGCACAAAGAGCTTTGCGGTAAGTAGGAGGTTTGAAGGCCTTGTCCAGATCTTCTCTTGTCAGTGACTAAACACCGGCAGGGAGGAGGAGCAGCCACCCTGGGGACCTATCAGTCAGCAGCGCTCTCCTCACGTCTCATAATGACACTAACCTGATCTGGCACCAACACTCTCCTTTTTCCCTATCATTCTATTTAGGCCTCTTCAGTCTTTCCAGTAAACCGTTGTCAGGCTGCCTGGGCCACAAGCCACCTAGGAGTCTCTGCGCTTTCATCTCCAGAGTTTCTGTATTCTGCCAACCTACAGCTGCTGTTGCCACCGCTTCCTCCATTTCCTTCTTCTTGCTATCCTTGTTTTAGCTTCCTGTAATTATTCTTCGCTCAATCCCCTCATCCTCCTTCCTGTCGACTCCCAGCAGCATCTGAGATGTGCTGCTGGCAGACGGGCCACACGCACCTGCACCTCGCTTTCCCTTTGCCGCAGCCACCCACAAGGGACACACAGCTCTGTAAAGATGTTATAGTTTAGATCAAGAATGTTCCCCAAAGGCCCTCTGGAAGGTGCTGGGGCCGTCGGGGTGGCTGCAGCTGACCCACTGGTAAGGTCGGAGGCGGGTCTGGTCAGAAGAGGCGGGTTGGGGTCAGGATGCAGTAGGGTGTGTCTCCCTCTTCAACAACAGCAGCCTCTACGTGTCATGCTGTCCAGTACATAATTTCCTATGTTTCTGAAGGCATGTTATGCAATCTACAGAACGGATTCTTGTTAAACGTACTGCTAACAAGAAACAAAACAAACCGAAGGAAGCAAGCCAAAACAAACCAAAGGAAAATTTTCTGTTCCACATTCTGCCAAACATGTCTCTCCTCATAACAATTTACCTAATATCACAACTATGACACTGAATACAAGGTTTTTAACAATCCCTGAGATCAAACCCTAAGTCTGGAAGCCACTGCTGTTCATACAACGTGGGAGATTAAGCATTAAAGAAAGCCAACGATATGTAAAACGAGTTCTTTGCCAGCCACTGCAGATGTTTTTTAAACAATCAAAATTGTTGGCCACCATAACAGTTCTGGAAAATGCCAACAGTAATCATTAGAATTTTGAAATGGTAGGATCGTTTCTCCTCATCTTTCTTTTAATCAAAAACATGCTTTGTAACCTATAATGTTAGGAATGGTCAAAAATAAATCATAAACATTTGAGGCTCTGGGTAAATAGAAAAAGTAAAAATATATGCCCTTGAAAAGACAGATTTCAGATGAGAAAACAATCACTTCTTTTTTTTTTCACTTCTTCTATATGCATATTAAATTAGTGCCTTTTTTCCCCCACAAGAAAAAGATCATGTTAGTTAGAATTAAATAATTTAATTCGTACTTTATCAGAAAATTGGATTTTTTGAAAGATTTTTAAATATTTAAATTTAATTAAGTCTAAATAATGTTATCTTGCAGCATTTTTCATTACAAAAAAAAATTGCATTTAATTCAAGAAATACTCCTCTAGGTGAGTCTTGTGTGATGGCTATAGAACCTATGACACCATGGATCAAACATGAATCAAATGATCAGTTATCAGGGCCCTAACATTTTTGGTACCTATTGTCAAGAACTTCCCTTGTTTACTTCATTAATTTATTTATATTTCCAGTGTGCATATCAGGGGTCATTGTTCTAAACAAAGATGGTAACAGTATGATAAGAGGTCTCATGACGCATATGCATTGCTGGGGAAGCCCTTGCACCTCAGGGGAAGGGG